ACAATGATGCATATGTTTGAGAATGTGAATTGGTGGTGGATTATAAATATGTTATGTGCTCGAGTCAGATTTTTACTTTTCCTTGTAAATAATTGGGATTTAATTGCACGAAAATGGAGTATAACGTTGGACAAGAATGGTCGATTCATAATTGGAATAGGTTAAAATAGTAACCCTCATAGATGAATTCAAACAACCGCTAAACCTAAACAATGTACATCCCCTGACCAACTGTAGGACGGTTTAGATGGTAGAACTGTTGCAGGGAGACATGGACGTGGATGTGGTTTCCATAGGTGCTATATTCTATGCGGACTGTCTGAAACCAATGAGATGAAAATTGGGTAAAAACCTTAAGGGTTGGTTTTCGAGAATGAGTGTTTAATAAGGGACATTGCACTAATCATTGCAAAAAAATAATAATAAAATAAAAATCCCAAGGGGGACAAATTAAATAATCTTTGCATGAAATGTCTCATCGTAGCCTTTATGACTCAAGTGATTAAGCCTGCAAGTGTTTAAAATCTAGTGCCCTAAAGTCGTCTAATTTGGGAGCTACCAACCTAAAGCTCGCTACAGAGGTCATTTAGAAAGTTTAATGGAGAGACGTATGCACTTGTGAGAGAGAGAGAGAGAGAGAAAGAGAGAGAGAGAGAGAGAGAAACCGCTTTGCATGTCTTGATTAAGCCTAGAACACTCGTTTTAGAAGATTAAGCTTTAGACAGAGGGTGATAACTTGGTTGATTCTTGGTGGTTGATGCAGTCAAAAATAGGATAAACTTCATCTACTGATAGGTCAAACTAGAACAAGGACATCCAACTAAGCTAAAGAGGGTAAGTAATAGTAATTAACAAATAAAAATAAGTTTGAGGGTGTGCGAAACCTCACAAGTGGTGAAAGAAAATAGTGGACTTTTGCAGTCGGGAAATGAACCAATCTAGAAAAGTCCAATGTTGTACCCTTAACACACACATGTTTGCACTAGAATAGAAAGAATTTGGCCATTGCACTATAACTTCAAAACGGTTCATGAATTCGATATCGTATTTTCAACGATGAGCCATGAAAAACAATGTGTCTAGCTGGTTTTTGAATTTCATGTCTTGTGTGATGAGGTGCACTTATTGTGTTTTGGGTTAACCATATTGGTGCGTTATTTTGTGTTTGCTCGAGAACAAGCAAAGAACTAAGTTTGGGGGTATTTGATGAGTGCAATTCAATCATCAATTTAGCACATTTAAATTTTAGTTTTCGAGTTGTCGTTGAGCACTTTTGAACGTTTTGATGCATGCTTTCATGTTGTTCTACAACTTAGACAACTTTTGGGAAAACGCCACACTCTGAAGCTTATAATGGAGCTAAAATGGTGATCATAAAATTGGAGCATGAATTGGAGATAAGAAAAGAAAAATTAAAGTGGAAACACGATGTTAAAGATGAAAAATCCAAATAAAGGCAGTCTATCCGACGCCATAGCACCCAAATAATGAAGAAGTAGCCAGTAGAAATGCTGGCGGCACAGCGCCATATCCTGGGCGTCGTGGCGCCCAGCACACATAAGCCAGTAGAGAGACTGGCGTCGTAGCGCCAACTAGGGGAAATGTCGCGGTGCTTGACGCTAAAAAAAGGAAAATTGAATTTTTTTTAGCCCAGATCCGATCCTTCTCATCTTGGAACTTTTGGGAAGTATGAATACCATGAAGAAGACCTAATGGAGGACTCTTGGCATTAAAAAGACAACATAAGGCAAAAAAAATAAGAGAAAAAACACTTCAAGGAGGAAGATTTACAATCATTGGGAGAAGATTCGAAGCATAAACTGAGTTTTTCTTAATCTCTTCTTCTCCATGCTCGTTTTCTGTATTTTAGAATTTCATTTTCATCCATTATGAACTAAAATCTTAGATCTAGGGTTGATGTAACCTAACTTGATACAATGTTTGCATGGTGATATGGTATTTCTTTAATTTTTCGGCATTTATTTTTGTTATTCATGCTTAATGCTTTCAATCACCAAATCAATGGTTGAATGAATTGATGTATTGAATTTTGGCACTCGAAAGAGGGAGATTTAATCTTGATCCACAAATAACATAACCTAGATTTCATAGGTTTCGAGAGAAAGTATGAATTTTTTGAGGCTTATTTCAAATCAAGAACCAAGGACTTAATAATTTTTATAGATCTAATCCGGAATAGAGATATTGGGGTTAGAGTATAGAAATAAATTATATTCGACACTCGAGAGAAGGAATGGGATTAATTTAAGATTCATGTCAATAAATTGAGGAAAATTTAGAGAAATAACCATAGAGATTGAAAAACATTGTTGACAAGGCGGTGAAATCATTCCCTAGACTTCTTTGCATTGATTATTTTTATATGTTTCATCTTGAGTTATTTGAATTGCAATTTAATTCGCAACATATTAATTTAGCATGAACATATCAAGTTAAAAATTGATTTTCTGAATAAAATAGAAGTTAAAATAATTATAGTATTCGATAGAAATCAAACATCCTTATGAATTCAACACTTCAATTTTATCACTATATTATAAAACCTGACACTGTACACTTGCGGTTAAAGCACATTACATAAAACGCGTGGCAGGCAAAATTAGCTACTAAGGTACCTAAGGTTCCTAGGTGCACGCCCTAGATTACACTAAGAGCGCGCTTCAATGGTGAACGGAGAAAAATTTAAGTTTCCTTATTTTATTTTGGTAAGCAACCTCCTTAGCATCATATAAGTAGGAGAACATGTCCAGAACTAATATTTTATCATTAAAAACCTTCATTAGATCTAAATTTCATCATATTCTACATATTTTGGAGGCGAAGAATAAGGCTTCATCATCAATCCAAGGAAAATTATGCAAGATTCTAGATGATTATTCAACCCCTTTCAATATTTCATTCAAGAAAGTGGATTTTTCTCTACCTTCTTCCATATTTCTTCGATCCATGTGTTTTTTTTTTATTATTTCTTGTATATCCTTGGATGAATGGTGAACTCTATTATTTATTTATTTTAATTCAAGACAAATAATTTAGTATTTCTTGATTTTCTTGGTTGATTTCACATTCCCATTGAACTATTTGATTGATTGATCACTAATTATATAGTAAATTGCTTTTTGTAATGTAGGAATATTCACAATAAGTCTAGAACGCGAAAAAATCAATATATGGGCAATAGGTATTAGAAATAATATCTATAGCATGTGTAATCATGTGTGATAAATCCTGAAAATCAATGTATATTTTTCATATGAATTCAGACTAATAATATAATTAGGTCGTGTTAAAGATATGCTTAATATATTTTGAAAAAGAATATTGAATAAACATGAATTATTAATTATCATGAATGCATGAATTTAGTAGATTACGAATTAAGAATTGAATTAAATGACAATATGGGGATTCACGATTCCAATACAAATATTTACATATTAGATAAATAGTTTATTTGCTTTGTGAGTTTAGGACTAGTATATAAAACATACAAATTAGCCCTTTTGATATCATCACACCACGAATTTGATAAAAGTTATTGAACTAGATATTAGATCTTATTCCTAGTGAGAACAATGCTCTTAACTCACAAATCTATTTCTTGTACAACGATTCCGTACGCTTACAGATTTTCTACGAACCGATGGTTTTATGATTTTGTAGTTGCCAATTGATGCTATTCAAAACAAACTTGAATTTAATAATATGAGTGAGATTTCCCAGCCAACATGTAAAATGCTTGCTACAGATTTGATGTTTACAAGGATCAGTCATCGAGTGACCTGATTTATTGAAGGTTATGATAGAACTTTGAGTTTCATTTTTTGTTCACAAAATGCTATGCTTGGCATACAAAGCTCAATCACTACTATCAATCATGTTGCTAGTCGCGATTGATGATATATTTAAAGCAGAAAGACCTTTTGATATAGGGGTCTCGGTTTCAGATTATTCCCTTTTCGTTGTAAAAGACAAGTTGCAAAGCCCAAGTGACTGTGATCAATGCTAGTCGATATATGGTTATAGTTAACGAAAGAAAGCTCTATCTGCTTTTTTAGTTTAAGAGGAAATGTAGTTATCATTGTAATATGTTATATTTCTAGAATCGTAATATGCTATATTTTTAGGGAGTTGACGAATGAGTGTAGTAATTGGCTGGTGATGGTGTCTGGTCGGGTTGGTGTGAGATGGTGGTGTGATAATTTTGCACGTATAATATTTCATATTTTTTAATAACACATTTAAAAAAAATAAAAATAAAAATCACTTTTCATAAAGTCTATGTGAAACACGCTTATTAGTGGCTGACCAAATTACCCTTCNATCACTACTATCAATCATGTTGCTAGTCGCGATTGATGATATATTTAAAGCAGAAAGACCTTTTGATATAGGGGTCTCGGTTTTAGATTATTCCCTTTTCGTTGTAAAAGACAAGTTGCAAAGCCCAAGTGACTGTGATCAATGCTAGTCGATATATGGTTATAGTTAACGAAAGAAAGCTCTATCTGCATTTTTAGTTTAAGAGGAAATGTAGTTATCATTGTAATATGTTATATTTCTAGAATCGTAATATGCTATATTTTTAGGGAGTTGACGAATGAGTTTAGTAATTGGCTGGTGATGGTGTCTGGTCGGGTTGGTGTGAGATGGTGGTGTGATAATTTTGCACGTATAATATTTCATATTTTTTAATAACATATTTAAAAAAAATAAAAATAAAAATCACTTTTCATAAAGTCTATGTGAAACACGCTTATTAGTGGCTGACCAAATTACCCTTCCCAAATGAGCTGAGTTGTTTACACGTGCCAATTTATTTGAGGAAATCGATGAAATTAGATGAAAAGGACTACTTGTACTAAGAATGATAGATCTGAGAATACAACTATCAAGAATGGAACAACAGGGATGATTTATGCAATTCAACAAATGATTGAGGCATTTTGTGTAAATTATCTAAATTATATTAATAATTAGGAGGCAAAAACCTCAGAGCCGAAGCTGAAGCCGAATCGAACAAAGGCGAAAAATCCAATCCCACCGCAGCCTAATTTCAATTTCATGTCCATCTCCCCCCACAAGAATCCAGGTTCAAAGTCATCTTCATCTGCTCAGCGTTCATCTCAATCCCCTTTTTCCGACCATGGATGCCTGTCTCCTGATCAACATCATGGCGAATCTAATCTCCACCACCAAACCTTACATGCCTCCTTCGGATCTCTCCGAATTTTTGACGATTTCGACGGTCTGTAATGTACCCTTCTTGTTTCTTTTGTAATTCAATTCACTTATACTTTTTGTGGGTATTTTCTGTGTTCCATTTTGGTGCTTGAAAATGAAACCCTAGAACTCCTCTTCTAGATGTTATAAAATTAAATTAATTTTATTTCTTTGGCGTTTTTGGCTGCTCTATTCGAAGTTTCTTCATCTACTGTTTTACTGCGGTTCGTCTGCTTAATATTTAAGTTTTCATTGTTTATTGAAATGTTTGACCTTTTGCAGTCATTTAATATGATTGCTAAGGTGAGTTTTTGCGGCATTTCTGGTTGTTAATGTGTGTGTTTCTAACTGCAGTTTGAAGTGCTTATTGTATTTTTGGTTAGCTTTTTCAGGGCAAGTGGGTCCAACTGCAGGATATTCTGATGGATCTTCCAGCGAGGTATTTTTACTCCTTTTTATTGTCTTATTGTAATTTTGATTCTTTTTTGTTTGAGTTTATTAAGTTTGATAGCTTCTTTTCATTATTTTTCTTACTCATCAGGTGAATGTGTATGAGAGCCAAAATGACTACACAAGTGAGACTTACGAAAACAGTGGTAAAAGCTCACACCATGAAGCTGCTACACAAGCTGGGGTAGGATTCACTGAACGGCGAGAGAAATTTTCTGTGACCCGTGTTAATGTAAGTAGCCATCAGACTACCCCAGCTACAAGTTCTCAAGGAAGAATGAATTTAACGGGAAGGAAAGGTCAGATGGTTAGTGGCAACCACTTACTGAATTTTCATTATGATCCTATACCTGTTTCTCGTCCACAGCCAAGAGCTCCTCCTGCCAGAAGACAACGGAAGAGAAAACCTTATAACAAGGATCTGTTCCTTCAAGCGAATTACAAGTTTGTATTGCTGGATTCTGGAAACCATGAGCTTGAGTCTATGGATCCGGATAAAATGTTATGTTGGGAGGATATCATTTGTTTGAAGTATTCAACATCCTCTCCTGTCCACTGTTCAATATGTTTGGAAGGTCCCTTATGCCCACAGATAACCTCATGTGGTCATATCTTTTGTTTCTCGTGCATTTTGCAATACTTTTCAATGGATGAATATGATGATAAAGCTGAATATTGGAAAAAGTGCCCACTATGCTTTACGATGATATCTTCAAAAGATTTGTACACCATCCGCATTGAGAGCGTTGAACAACACAGGATTGGTGGTGAAATAGAATTTGTTCTATTAACTCGCCAAAAAGATTCATTTACTTTATCAGTTAAAAACAATGAAGGAAATCATTTTGATGCCGAGATTCAAGATTCTTTCTCAAAGTTCTCCTTGACTTCCGATGTGGACCTGTCTGTTAGAGAGGCAATGTCAGATCTTGATAATTGGTTAGCCAGGGCATATTCAGGTCTAGTTGATGACATCGAGAAACTTCCATATGTCTGTTCTGCAATGAAACAATTAGAGCAAAGGAAGAACTACTGGAATGAGCATCATTTCAACAGCAAGCAGGATCATGCCAGTTCATACGGGTCTCCACCAACGCCAAAAGCTACTGTTGTGCGACAAACAACCTCTACTGGAATTAATGATAATCTAAAGTGGTTGCAAAAACCAGCTCCAGATAAAGTGGATGTGAATGTTAATGAATCATTAGATCATGATGGATCATCATCGTCTTCGTTTGATGAAAACAAGAATGGACACATGCATCCTAGTGGCTTCAAGGACATCAAAGACGCTGATTCTTACCATTTCTACCAGGTCAGTGATATCAATTTTATTTTATTCCTTCTTTTTTCCTCGTGTTTAGCTTGGGAAAGGAGGGGAATTTGGCAAACTGAGAAATCAAACATTGAAGTTATGTCAATCAATATGTAATTGTAGTCGTTGTGTGCCTTCCCTCGAAAGATGGTAATAGGTAATTGTAATCCTCTTCTTTTTTTGTGTATTCAAATTCCAGGCTGTTGATGGTCAGCACCTTATCCTTCATCCGCTAAATATGAAGTGTCTTCTACACCACTATGGTAGCTTTGATAAGCTTCCAAACAGGTTGGAGACAAGCTAATATCTCTGCTTCTGTTTTTTTAAACTAAAAAGTTGACTGCAAAACAAAACTTCTTAGCTACAAAAGATGCATTTTCCATTACAAGCTCAAAGTGAAGCGCATTTTTCTGGTCTGTTATTATTGTATATTGTAGAATTCTATTGATTTATTTCTTACCAAGTAAGGGATTGGTAGACCATAATTTCTTAGCATCATAATAATGGATCAAAGACATGCTATTATGCCCTTGTTTGATTTTGATTCTTTGAGAATCACTTCTCTACCAAGCTCATTTTCAACCACACTAATTATCACAAAATAAAAGAAAATATTTTTTTATGTTTCATAATTTTTCCCTACTTTTTAACCCCATGTTTACCAAAAATAATAATATTAAATAAATAAATAAAAATTCAAAGATCTATATTACCCGTGGATATCAGAATACATTGCATGTGGTTGTGAAAAGAACAATGATCAAAGATATATGTTGTTTTATGCTCTTTCGTGACTGAATTTCTTCTATTATTTAACGTGGATATGAGTTGCTCCATCCAACACCAGTGATTTCATGTTTAACACAAGCTTATCAAGGGCTTTAATATGGTATTTGAGCTTGGTTTTCTGTCAGTTCTTAGTCTTTTCATCACACCATTTGTATTTATCTGCAGACCGTGTCAGTTTGGTGAGAAAATTGTGTGTCAGACACGAGGGTATGACAGAAGACGATGAACTCAGTCCCACTTCTGTTCTTAATACAATCACTGGTTTTTTCGTACCAATACATATAGTTATGACCTCCCAAGTCCCAACCAACCCCAACTCCAGCATATAATATAAAGTTAATAGAGTAAAAGTAAAAATAGAAAGACTGCCAGTGAGCTCAGAACTATAGTATTTATCTAAATTTGGACACACGGAAATATATTGATGCACGTGTGTATTGTTTGATGTAATAATGTGTGTTTCCAAGTCTTGATTAGAAAATGATGCGCCCACTTCATAGTATTACGTGTTTCTGGAGTTGGAAGGTATAGACAGTTTCATGATAGAACTTTTTAAAGTTGTTCGAAAACTAGTAATGATGAAGATATTTTGCTGTGCTCTAGTTTGATGATTATTGACAGGAATTATAATTACAGAATCACTGGAAAGATACTACAGTTGGAGACAGTAACACAATCAGAGGCCATGCGGAGGCGCTATCGCTTCTTAAGCCATTTTTCTTTAACAACAACGTTTCAGGTGAATCCTAAAAATTTGTTTTAAACTATTCATAAAATGCAGAAGGAGAAGCCTAGTCTGTGTTGGTGGGTTGTCTTCACTTACTTTTGTGTCTCTTTACAGTTTTGTGAAATTGACCTATGCGGAATGTTGCCTACTGAATCCCTTTATCCATTTATGGATGAAATCAAGAGTAGGGAGAAGCAAAGGAAGCGACTTGCTCGAAAGGTATAATCTTTTGTGTTTGTGTCTGTTTCACCCTTCATCAGATAATCAAATTGTACTTTTCTTGATGAAGCCATGCAATTGCATGATTTTGTACTTTGTCTAGTATTTAATTTGTTGGCTTGCCTATCATGCTGTGATAGTTGGCTTGCAAACTTTCTTTTTGAATTTCCTTTTTCTGGGTTGGAAGAAGTGGATCTTGAGTTATCAACCAATTTGTTGCAACTCTAATCTGATGATTGTTCTTAAGGATCTACATTTTCACTGCCTTTACATATATTGAGTTATTACAAATGAACTAATGGAACCAACCGCATTCTAAGCCCCCTTTTGGCTCTTATTATTTGAGATTTTTAATTTTTTAGAATAGTGTTTTTTTTTTTTTTTTTTTTGGAGAATGGGTGGTTGAAAAAGAAGGAAAAGTTTTTGGTTTATGTGGAATATTATTCTATTGGAGAATGTGTGTTTGAACCATATAGAGAGAGAGATTAGCTTGATGCTGCTACACTTTCCCTATATGATCTCTTACCACAGTGAAAGTTGACCTCGATTACAATCTAGAGAGTAAAAAGTTTTCAATTATTTGGAATAGATGAGACAGCAGAAATACATTTGTGGGTATGGTCTCTCTCTCTCTCTCTGTGTGTGTGTGTGTGTGTGTGTGTGTGTGTGTATGCCCACGTTCTAAAATGCTCTTTAAAGGATAATCTACTGGCACATTTTCTATGCAATCGAGTCTCTACTTTCAATATTCATTTAAAATGTACATGTGTTATGCATTGTTGCTTAAGCCTTTCCTTTGATGTAACTTCATCTTTTGAATCCAGGAAAGCAAGGACAAAATTAAGGCTGAAAGTTCTGCCAGTCAATTTTTGCCTACACCATATTACTTAGCACAGTCCTCTTATGATGTACCCCCTAGCTTTTCCATGGAGGACTTTGAAGGTGATATTTCTTACCAGAAGATAGTCTGAATAACTTTGATGACTATATTTGAATCCTGGAAAACAAGTATTTTAATTTTTTTTAAGATTAGTGTGGAAGTAAAATAATATGGCCTTAAGAGATATCGTGATAAATAGAAATCTTCAATCTATTCTGTTATATTTTTATCAAATGGGTTTAGTGATTGACTTTTTGGTACCTTTTATAAGCCATTTAAGTTGAGCGTTTTCCCCAAGAAATATCTGTATGCAAGAACAATCTTTTTACTGGTAACTGTTGTGTGCACTCTAATGCATTTAGTTGTAAATTGATAGCTTCTAAAAATAACCTGAGCAAGAAGATCAATGTTCTGTTCAATAAATGTGGCTGCTGGAATGCAATGGTGCTTGATTATCAGTTTATCTTCTATCTATTGCATCAGTGTCTCAGCAGTATATGACGCTTGCGCTGATATTTCTCCTATTGTTTTTGTATGTATTTTTTGATACCCACAGACCTGGTGTTTTTTCCATATTACTTTGTGGTATTTGACACGAAATTTTATTCCACTTATCATTTGGTTTGCACGGCATATAATTGAGACATCTGCGCAATTATAAACTTATTGTTCGTTCCGTTATATTTGTTCTTACTAAGCTTTGGGAAGTCCACCCGTAACATCGTCAAGTCCTCCAACAATTGGGGAGAGGCAGTCGTTTTCAAGTGTTGCAAGGTTAGGTTTTGCCGCTGGACATGATTCTCCAGCTTTGAAAACAGAGGAAGGTCAATCTCTTCCTAAGATTGATGTACCCCACGGCTCTTCTGATGCAGCAGGTCTTGACTTTATGAGGACTGGCTTGTCATTTGATGTTGCCATGCTTTGTATCTATAATTGAAATGTGTACTGTCGTTCTTGTAGGATTTAGAAACGCAGGTTCCTTATCATTTGCCAGTGTTACATCTAGAGCAAAGCCTGCTGTTGAAGAAGGCCTGCATATGTCCAAGGTGAATGAATCGGGGAAGAAGGGGAAGAAATCAAGTCGTGTCCTCCTATCCACAGCAGGTGGTCGACGTTATTGAGAAAATGCTTTTAAACTGCTGCATGGTTATTTTCCTGTGGAATAATGATGCTGACATCCTTTCTTGGCCGTTTGTTTAGGCAATTTATTTATGTTTCATTTCCATTTATTTATGCTTATGCTTTATTGGGCTTGTATATGAGGTTGGCCCAAGCCTCTTAACTATTGGGTTTATATTTTGTTATTTATATGGCTGTAATTGGAACTTCCAAAGTTAGTAGATGAATGAAATTATTCACATTGGCATGTTGTCCATTTTCCCTTCCCTCATTCTACCCTACGCGCTCCCTTTCTTTGTCTTCTCCTGTTTCTATTATTCTGTCTCTTCTTCTTTTTAATGATCCTACATCAAAATTGGTATTAGAGCTAAACTTGGGAATTGCTCATCTCCTACAGCTATTGCATCAAATCTGGTTACCTTCATCAAACTCTTTTCCGGAACAAAACTACTATTTCAAAACTACCAAACAATAACCACCTCGCACACAATCTTGTAGGACATCCCACAACGCCCAACCCCACCCAACAACTCGCTACAACCTTGCTATCATTATAACCTAATACTATACTAATCATCACCAAAAACAACCATCGGTTGAAAGCAAGTCTCTACCCAGTTCGCAAATCCTGACCCCAAATCACACATCGACCTCCACCGCAACAGTCAACTGCCACCATCAACTATTCATGGTAACAACAAATCCCGATCCAATCATTCTAGTTCCACCTTATCTACACAACCGACACCCAGCTGTAGCCACACCATTCACTCCAACCACTTAAATCAAAGGCAACATCTATTGCGCAAAAAAAAAAAAAAAAAAAAAAACCACAATAATTTCACATTTTTCACAAAAAAAAAAAAAAAAAAAAAAACACCAGTAATATCCCAAAAATCGTCCCTTCATCTCCGCTGGCACTAGTAAGCCATCGAAATCGGTCACCACCAACAACTTCGATCTCCAGCAAGATCGCAGCTAGCCGTCGATTACCACCACCACCAATGGTGAAGCTCCACTGTAGCCGCCATCAAGGTTTCTTCCCTTAAGCATAAACCCCAGGTAAGGATTAGCTTGCCATATTTAGTTTTACATAACCCCACCCCCCTCCCCCTCTCCCAAAAAAACAAAAAAAAAAAAAAAAAAAAAAAAAAAAAAATCAAATTCAAATTCAAATTCAAAATTTAAATGTTGGGATAATTATTTTCATTTCTTGAACGAGTTGTTTACTAAACTCTTTGTGCATTTCATTTAGCTGGTATTACATTGCATACAGTTGCATAATGGTCGTCTTGTCATATCGAGTTTCAATACTTTGACTATGAACCCTTCCCAGTTTGATGCCCTTACTCGAAAATTAGCTCAACTACAAGTTCAATTAGCGATTATACAAACTAAAGTGACTGCTACTCGTGAAGAGAGTAAAGACCTAGCTACGAGGGTAAACATTTTAGAACAAAACCCTCATTCGACATAGGCTAACAACTCTGAATCGTCTCATAATATGTCCTATCGTCATCGATAAGGTGTTCAACGTGATCGAAGAGATAGGGAACAAGATCGCGAGCATGAATGAGGCCATGACCATTACAGTACTCATTCGCCTTCCCACCATGAAGAGTGTTACTTTCGAAATATCAAATTAGATGCTCCTACTTTCGATGACTGCTTATATTCTAGAGTTTTTACTTAATAGATTAGAGACAATGACTCTTTCTTGTCATGGTATAGAGTCCTAGAGGATTGAAGAATTCAATTTCCCAGTTTTAAATTAATTGGTACTGTCCAACTCTTTTAAAAAAGTGTTGAGGATCTTCTTGAGAGGTGTCGTGCACCTCCCGTTGAAAGCTAAAATGAAATGAAGCGTCGACTTCAAGAAAAGTACTTACCTTGATCTTACGGGGGTAATTTGTTGGATTGACTATGTTATTCAATTTAATGAATTTCGAATGTGATGTCACATTGTTGAGGATGAAACTATGATTTTGAGTTAGTTTAGATAGAGCCTAGGCGATGATCTTAGACGTGAGTTTGTCCTACAATGTGTCACCCACTCTTGATCACGCTTATTCATTAGTTGAAATTACAAGTCGATAACTAAGACTTCATATGGAAAGGTAGTAACAATCGTCCTTCAGTCTCATTGGTACTACCTCCCCCTGTTAAGTCCCTTTCATGACATCCTCCATCTAATGCGTCCCCTGCTTTAGATAATGAAGGTAAAGCTCCTGAAATTTCAAGAACTTCTTCTCGCTTGCAGTGTTTTAACTATAAGGACTTCGACCATATCTCCTCCGAATGTTCGAGTCGTGCCTTGGTTATTGAGGAACAGAAGGATGTCGTAGATGAGCAGCAAGAAGATCAAGTCTATAAGCCTAAGTTTGAAAAGTTTGATGATTTTGAGGATACCTTCTTGTTTTGCCTTCGTGCCCTTCCTATATGTCTAGGTTCTGCGCTAGCCCTTGACACCTCTCGATTAAGTGTTGTAGTTGTATCCTTACCCAACCTAAAGATATCGATGATTAACATCGTCATGCCATTTTTCATACTTACGTCAAGATCAACGATAAGGATTATAAAATTATTGTGGATAGTAGAAGTTGTATTGATGTTGTTTTTGTAGCTACGATGTCCTGTCTTGGGTTGAAACCAATCCCACACCCTCAATCGTATAATGTCTCTTGGGTTAACACTTCTTCTATATTTTCTGAAACAGTTTTGTCTAGTACTCATCCAATTTCTTAAGTATAAGGATCACATATGGTGTGACGTCATTCCTATGGATGTTGGACACGTCATTTATGGTCGACCTTGATTGTTCGATTTGGATAGTTACATTCATGGTTTGTCAAATTCATGTTCCTATGTATTTATTTGGATAGAAGATTCATCTTAATCCTTTTCATCAAAATCTGTTGACTCGCAATAAGCCAAAAAAAAATTATCGAACCAAAAGGATTACATGACACTCATGGATAGTCCTGTCGTGTTTGCTGTGTTTGTCATGCAAGTCTCGTTGGATCTCCAACAGTGACCCTAGTTGAGGTCCATCATTCCTTCAAAAATTTCAAGATGTCTTTATTGAGTACCTCTCTAATCTATTGTCTCCTTTACAAGATATTCAACATGTTGTAGATCTTGTTCTAGATTCGTCTCTCCCAAATTTGCCCCACTATAAGATAAATCATACTGAGCATGCTGAGCTCCAGAGGCAAGTGCATAAGCTCCTTTACAAATGATTCATTTGTGAGATTTTAGGTCCTCGTGCGGTTCTCATCCTTTTGACACCTAAGAAAGATTGTTCTTGGAGGATGTGCATTGATAGTCATGCCATCAATAAAAGCACTGTCAAGTATCATTTCCCAATCCCTCGACTTGATGATATACTTGATATGATGATTGGTGCCATAATCTTTTCCAAAATTGATTTAAAGAGTGGGTATAACCAAATTAGGATTTGCCCAGGTGACGAGTGGAAATTACATTTAAAATGAAGGATGGTCTTTACGAGTGATTGATCATGCCTTTTGGACTGACAATGTTCAAAGTACTTTTATGAGGGTTTTGACACAGACCCTTACGCCATTCATGGGTCAATTCATGATGACATTCTTGTGTATAGTAAAAATTAGAGAACAACATCGAGATATCATCTTACACAAGTCTGTTCTATACTTCGTGCTATAAGCCTGTATAATAATGTGAATAAATGTTCTTTCTTCACCGATATAGTTATCTTCTTAGGATTCACTTTTTCCACTGTGGGAATAACTGCTGACCTACAAAGATTTCTACAATTACTTGGCTTGAACCCAAGACTATACATGACGTTAGGAGTTTTCATATCTTAGACACCTTTTATCGTTGCTTCATCAGGGGATTTAGCACAATCATGGCTCCTATCACACGGTGAATGACAGAAACCCCAATCATGCGACTTCTTGATTTTTTCAAAGTTTTGTAGTCGAATGTTATGTGTCAGGTGTATGAATAGGTGGAGTACTTGAGTTAGGAACGCCATCCTGTTGCTTATTTTAGTGAGAAATTAAATAATGTCAAATAACAGTACTCGACTTATGATAAGCAGTTGTACAAGCTTTACGCTATTAGCGTCATTACTTATTACCCCAGGAATTTGTCTTCTATTTGGACTATGAGGCCCTTTACTTTAATTCTCCAAAACAATTAAATTGTAGGTATGATCGCTGGATTGAATATTTGCAGGCCCTATTCTTTTGTTTTGAAGCATAAAAAGGGTGTTGAAAACCAAGTGATTTATGCTTTAAGCCAAGGTCATAGGTTTTGAAAGGCTTAAAAAAGAGTGCAAGTCATGTCCCCTTTTTAAAGACATTTTTCTTGCATTGCAAAGTGGGCAGATGGATACTACTAATGGTCTCTGTCTTGAAGAGGGCTATCTATTTAGATCGAATAAGTTGTGCATCCCTAGGACTTCAGTGCGAGATTTTATAGTTTTGGAAAGTCATGCCGATAGATTAGTCGGACATTTTGGGCGTAATAAGACAATAGAGGAAATTGTCATTTCTATTAGCCTAATTTAAAAGCAGATATGGCTAATATAGTTAGCAAATGCAACACTTGTCAACAAACCAAGCAAAAGAGGTAGATCATGGGTCTCTAAATGTCTTTTCCTATCCCTAATTGTCCTTGACAAGACGTCAGTATGGATTTTGTATTAGGTATGCCACGTACTCCAAAGAAACATGACTCCATTTTCATATAAGTAGCGCACTTTATCCCTTGTAACAAGACTTTTTATGCAACTAAGGTTGCTAAGTTATACTCTTATGAGAACGTCAAGTTGTATGGTATTAGCCATTTTATGGAGAACCCTATAGTATACGGTTGGCACTAGATTGAAATTCTCTACTGCCTATCACCCACATACTGATGGTCAAACTGAAGTTGTCAATCGTAATTTTGGTAATCTATTAAGATGTTTGGTCCAAGAAAATCTTAGGAATTGGGATTTGATCCTCCCTATAGTTTAAATTGGAAGCAATAAATCATATAAACTTCGAGCTAATTTACATACACGACAAGTTGAATTTAACATTGGGGATTAAGTTATGATTTGAATTAGATCGAATCTGGATCCGTTTTCAAGTTGCAAGCTCGTAGTGCTGGTCCTTTTAAAATTTTAAAGTGTATTGGTTGAAATGCTCATGTCATTGATTTACCATTACATTTTGTCTACCACTGTACCTTAAATGTTGAGGATTTAGCTACTTATGAAGGCCATTTTAATCCATCTGATAATCATTTTATAACTCCATATTTTGACCATCAACCTAAACATGTTATTCCTTTCCCGATTCCACCTGTTACAGTACACAGAGATAAAATTGATACTATTTTAGATAAATAGATAGTGTTGACCAAGGATGGAGAGATTCAATATTTCCTAGTTCGTTGGGTAGGTTGACCGAAATCTGATTGTACTTGGATCCTGAGAGAGACACTTTAGCGGCTTGATCCCGATTTATTGGAGCATTGTAGGAGTCAGTAGGATCTTCCTTTGTCCGGATCACCACCTTTACGTGTTTATAGACGTCGAAAGAAATTTGGTTCAACCGTTGAGTTTGTAGGTGGATGTTTGACAACAGTATTTTGTGATTAACCACTTAACAGGGTTGAGTTTTTTCTCCCACCCTGGGGAGTTGATATGGACATCCTTCGTTGGGCCGTTTGTTTAGACCATTTATTTGTGTTTTATGTCTATTTATTTATGCTTTATTGGGCTTGTATATGGGTTTGGCCCAAACCCCTTTAACTATTAGGTTTATGTTTTTGTTATCTATATGGTTGTAATTGGAACTTCCTAAGTTAGCTGATGAATGAAATTATTCACGAAAATCAGGGGAACATTTTAACATTTCTAAAATCAGAAATTTTTAATATGTTATAAAATAAAAATTTAAACTCACAAAACCTAATTCCTCCTGCATTTCACGTCGTCGCCTCTCCCTCTACATTTCTCCCACAGTCGCACAGCCCTCCATTCTCTCCTCTCTCTTTCTCTCTCTAAATTTCTTCCCCCGGGCTCCAATGGCGCTTCCCTCCACCGGCGGAGACAAGGCTATTGGCTCGTAGCAAGACGAAGTAGAGAGGCTCCTCCGCGCGCAACGCAGCAACGAGGCGGTGTTGTTGCAGTAGTCCTCGCCGCATCGTTGGCTCATTTTAATTTTTCGATTCAATCTACTATGGGGTCTACAGTAGCGATGGTGGTTTGTGGATGGTAGAGAGACTCGACGAGGTGATGTTGTTGCGGTGGTCTGCGCCGCCTCGCTACCTCATTGTAGTTTTTCGTTTCGATCTATGTGGTCTGCGGTGGAGGAGAAACAGAGGTGTGTTGGGTGGTGGTGGTGGTTGATAGGTGGTGGTGGAGTCCATTGTCAGATTTGGGGATTTTTTTGGTGTGGGTTGTGGTGGTCGTGCGGTGGTGATGGTGACTGTGCCTGTAACTCTCGATTTGTGACTTGCATTGGATGTATGACCTGAAGGTTTTCTGTTTTGTTACAGATTGCAAGGTTGTGGTGGTGGGCGTGACTCATAACAGTGGTGTGGTAGTGTTGTTGGAAGCGGTGGTCACATATTATTTGGTCAATTGTGACTAGTGAATTGATTAATCAGTGACCAATAAATAAAATAAATAATGCGTGATCAATGAAAAAGATAAATTGTGACTAAAAAATAATGTGTGACCTAAAAAATTAATAAATTGTGATTGTTGTGACCTATAATATTAGTGATATGTGACCTATAAGTAAAATGTGATTTTCGATCTGTGACTGTTTGAATGGTTGTGACCAATTATCTACGTGATTGCTATTAATAATTGGATATGTGACCTGATAATTGTGACTGCGACCTTTGATTGTGATTTACAATTGATTAAGTTGTGATCGAAAAGTTAATCGTGACTTGAAAATTGTGATTTGTGACTTCCGATTGTGACTCACTTTTTATTAAATTATGATTGAAAAAAATAATTGTGACTAATTAATTCAATAATTTGCAATGAGTAAATACGTTGTGATCAATAATATTTTTGAATATGTGACCTATAAATTTTGTGAATTTGCAATCAAAAATTATCCTGTGACTTATAAAAATTTTGATTTGTGCCAAGAAATAAGTTGTGATCAATAATTTGATAATTTGTGACTAAAAATTAATTCGTGACTAATTAATTAGATAACTGTGATAAAAAATTATCCCGTGACTTATAAATTTTTTTATTCGTGACCTAAAAACAATGTGACCTATAAAATTTTCGATCTATGACCAATAATTTGATTAGTTGTGACTAAAGATTAATCTGTGACTAATTAATTTTTTGATTTGTGACTAATGAACAAACTGTGACCTATAAAATTTTTGAATTATGATCGTAAAATAATTTTTGACATAAAATTTTTGATTTGTGACCAAAAAATAATAAGAGGCTAATTAAATTGTTAAGTTGTGACCAAATTGTATAGATATGTGACCTAAATATATTTAATTAATTAATTAATTAATTAAATCATAAATATATTTTAATAAAAATTTGATTTTTGAAGTTTGAAACTTGTTTCCTTAATTTTGAAATATATCATACTTAATCTCTTGTTTATGAAATTTTTCCTTATATAAATCCAAACGGGCTTGTCCTGACCCGGTCCAATATTTAATTAACTCATTTAATTAAATTCAGTCCGTGAATTAATTAATTCGGGCCTTACTAAATTAATTAATTAACAAATCACAATCTTTCAGTTCTCCTTTTGTGTGCAACCCATTAGGTTCTTGATCACAATACCTAACGATATAAAATATTATTTTGATATAATCAAAATCGATAAATTAAAATACCATTTTAATTTATCATCAACTCATGTACACCGTCCCAAATTGACAGCTAGCAATGTGTTAGGGCAATACATGTGACGAAAAATGACACGTGGTATGATAACCAAACTCGTTCATTTACCGTGAAATTATATCCCTTCGTCAATATGACTCGATCAGTTACGAGATATAGAAGTATGTCAATCACAATTATTGATCATATCTTTCATTTCACTATTAAGTTAATATGAGTCGAAAACTCATTTTCGACTTCTGAGTATCCCTTGGCTAAGGGTTTCGTTATCGACTTAATTGAATGGAATGTAGATCATAATATCTTACTATCTAAGAGTGACAAATCATCTATTGATCATTTACAACCTTCATACGACTCTTAACATACTCGAACGATGCGATATTAGCGGCCTTTGGCAGAGCCACCGCCAAAGTATGACTGTCCTTATATCAGAAACCATGATGATCTCAAGTCAAAGGACCAATTTTACTATCGAATGTTAGAGATTAAACACTAACACTCAAATAGTTATCCATGTGAAATCTCTTAGTGAGTTTTTAATGTTTTGTTTTATAACAAAATATCCACGTGTTCATTTAAGTGTTATCATACTTTAGGTTGTGAGATTAATTATTTACTTCACAAGTAAAAAATGCCACACGTGATGGTCTATCCGTAATAACGATATCCATATCTTGTTATTACTTACGACCACAGATTATTTAAGATTCAATCATATATAATTTGCATCTCACAATCACAGCTGCTTATGATTTATAAATTATCAAGTCTTGAATTTATGGACTCTATTATTTAATATTATTCATCAGAATATGAATTTAAATAAAAAAATAGATCTTGCCAAAAATAAATACATTAAATATATTAAAAATGTTTACACCCTAAATCGATTGAATTTAGAGCATAACACTTAGACATTGGAGATATGACTCCTCTTCGTATCATTTCATTTGTTTGGATAGTCATTGATTTAGCGGCTTTTATTTTAATTGGGTTGGATATTGGAGGGTTTAGATTGTTGATTGGTCGGCTTTTTTTTTTCCTGTTAAGAAAAAAAAGTATTCTTGGTATCCGTATCGTTGACAGAAGTTTTATGACCTCAGAGAGTCAAACCCAAATTATCATCACACAAGGATGGCTTAATTACAGGCATTTTCGTCATGTTCTTCCACCAAACTTCTTTTCCATGGTTCTAAAAGAGGTACACAAAATATGCATATAATTTCCTCCGACTAACTTCACTTCTAGAGAAAGGCTTCATCGGAAGATGTATGCCACATAGCATTATTCAAATTAGTATTTTATGAATGATTTAAGGGGTGGCATTGTTGAGAGTTATTTTTGTTTGAAATGCCAGCTAGGCGTGAAAACGAGCGAGTTTCACGGTCATGCTGTTGTTGCTAACATTGGTCTTGCCCGTAAATTCACGTCTGTTTCTTGATTGATTACAGTTTTAATATTATGCAGCAGGGTGATCAAATTATAGTAAACAGTTATTTTTTTTTCTCCCTTTTCAACTGGAAGTTATAGTAGTGTTCTTCATGAATTACTTTCTTTCTCAGCAGTTCTGTTTAATAGTCTGCATTTAATTTTCAATTTTGAAGTGATAACGTAATAATCATTGTCCTTTCTACGAATTTGCATTTTCTTGCACCTGTGATGAATTGAACT